ATTTCAGCTACTTTTAAGCTAGTTTTAGCTTTTTGTTCTTTTTTTAAGCTATGCTTCTTTTCTTGTTCTTGCTCATGTAAAAAGAAATCACGCTCATTTCCCTGCTGTCTGTTAATTTTAACTTTTTTCGGTTACTTTTAGCATTTTTTGCTAATTTCAGCTACTTTGTTTACCATCTTTTTTTCTAAGTTTTCATTATTTTCACATTAACATTTTTGCTATGAATCCTTTTCAGCTTCTTACTTATTAAATTAAACAAACATGCACTTTCTGTTTCTTTGTGCTTATTTCAGCTACTTTTACGTTATTTTGAGGTTAGTTTCAGCTTTTTTATCGATTTTTTTTAGCTCAACTTCTTTTTTGTTAATTTAAAGAAATCACTCATTTTCCTTCCTTCTATCTMTTAATTTTAACTTGTTTCGGCTACTTTTAGCATTTTTTGCTAATTTTGGCTACTTTTAGCTCTTAAATTTTTTACCATCTTTCTTCTAATTTTTCACTGTTTTCTACTTTCACATCAACAGTTTTGCTATTGAACCTCTTCAGCAAACATGCTTTTTCTGTCTGTGATAATTTACGGTATTTCAGCTACTTTTAAGCTAGTTTTAGCTTTTTTGTGCTATTTTTAGCTATGCTTTTCTTGTTTTTGCTCATGTAAAAAGAAATCACGCTCGTTTCCCTGCTGTCTGTTAATTTTAACTTGTTTCGGTTACTTTTAGCATTTTTTGCTAATTTCAGCTACTTTTTTTACCATCTTTTTTTCTAAGTTTTCATTATTGTCCTATTTTCACATCAACAGTTTTGCTAATAAACCTTTTCCAGCTTTCAGTAAAAACATTTCAGCTTTAACCTTTTGTCTGAACAGAAAGTTRTGTAGTTAATGCAACTTCTTCAGCTTGTTGTTTTGTTTATGTTCTGTAAAATAAATCTGTTTCTTACTTGAGGTTGAGAGGCTCTGCTCCACAATCCCAACTTTCACAACCTGCAAGAATAAACACGTTTTCACTGACTGAACACGACGACTCTGTTTGGAGGAGAGAAAACGAGTTCTTACCCCAATAAACGGCACAAACTTCTGACAGGAGTCTTCGTCGGGGCTGCGGACAGAAACAAACGGTGAGGATGAGGAGGATTTACAGCCCGGGGGGGTGCAGCTGAACACTCAATGACCCTGGAGGGAGGCGTGGCTCGGGAATGGCTAACGCCATGTCCCGGGACGCACTCAGGTGGAATGGGG